TTTTTTTTTTTTTTTTGTCAAATCTAAGTAGTTTTAGTCTCAAAACTACGTGTTGTGGTCTTTATTTTGTGTATTGCGTTATGACGTTTTTTGTACAATCTGTACGTGATGGAGAAAAAAAGTGGATATCATTCTCGGATTCAGGATACAGGAATTACTGTAGAACATGTAAGAATTTCAAGACAATAAGACCATCGCAGGCCTGTGTAATTAATTACCCCTCTGCCCATGCCTAAGTCAAATCTCAGATAGCATTGGAACCTTAGTTTCTCCTAGGCTGTAAACATTAACCTCCAGATATGTACGCATGTACCATAAAAGTTGTAAATAACTTACTATAAAACAAAGCGACACAGATTCATTTAAACTCCCCCCCCCCCTAGGCTGTCAGCATACTGGAGGGTAAACGTTTATCATCTAAAAATCACGGAATTTTTGTAGGATGGAGAGCGCATGACGTCATATTCAGTATCCTCGACCGCCATATTTGAAGTTAATACAAAACGTTGCTTAGACATATGCCAACCGGACCCTCCCAGATCGCGCACACATTTGTACAGCACCATAGCATGTATAAGTCAGCTTTTGTAACAGTAATGGTTTGTTTCTTTGATTTGTAGTTATGCACAAAGCTACACAATGGGCTACCTGTGCTCTGCCCACCGCGGGTATCGAAACCCGATTTCTAGCGTTGTAAGTCCGCAGACATGCTGCTGTGCCACTGGGGGGGGGCGACAGTAATGATATATGTGGTGTCATTGGCTTATATTGGCATGAAACAATTCAAAATATTTTACGCAAACATCTTTATTGCTTTTTAAAGGTAGATATAACGACTACATTTTCAATGTTTATCAATGGCAAAAGATCCGAGCCGGTTTGTTTTTGTTTTGAGGTTAGCGCAAAGCTACTCGAGAGCTATCTGCGCTAGCCGTCCCTAATTTAGCAGTGGCAGATGAAAGGAAAGGCAGCTAATCAACACCACTCACCGCCAACTCTATTGCTACTCTTTTACGAACGAATAGTAGTATTGACCGTAACATTATAACGCTCCCACGACTGAAAGGATAAGCATGTTCGGTGATGAGTATTCGAACCTTCGTCCCGCGGATTGTGAGTCGAGTGCCCTACTCACTAGGCCATCAGTTTCTGTTGTCATTGTTCCTTCGTGCCCCCAAGTGGCACAGCGGTATGTCTGCGGAATTACAACGCTAGAAACCGGGTTTCGATACCCGTGGTGGGCAGAGCACAGATAGCCCATTGTGTAGCTTTGTGCTTAACTTCAAACAAACAAACTGTTCCTTCGTCTTATAGAAAGTCGGAATATTTACCTAAATTAATAAGTACCATAGTAATACTAAAAGCATAATTAAATCTACAGCATATCCAACAGAATGCTGTAAACTGTAAGGTACTATAGACTACAGTCAAGGTATGAGACTAAACCTACAGGACGTACATTTTACGTAGTACTAGCTTATGGGCTCAAGCTGTTTGCCAAACACTATTTACTTTAATGTAAGTAAAGGGGACGAGATGTAATGGGCTCAATAAATAAATAAAATTAGTTTTATTA